CACAGCAAGTAGTTCATGTAAGGGTCATTAGGAAGATCGTCATCTGGAAAAAATCATGAAATCAATTAATCATATCTTCATCGTTAAAGTCCACATTATGGCTGCCATAAGGCAACTTCTTTTACCGATCAGAGCTAAGAATAGACGCACAACTTTATTCCGATTTGAGTCCTCGAGGGTTACAGCAATAAGCAAGATGGTAGACTATTGACCCCAAAGACTGGACTGATATTAGGTCCTATGTACCGTAATTTGTCGTATTGATTTGTTATTTTATGGTTTGTATAAACTGAAATACAAGGTGAAAATAAAACTTCAGAAATACTGCGAGCGCAAAAGAAATACAGCAAGGAATGGACAACGCACTTACATTAATATTGTTTTGGCGCAAAACTTCTGACCGCAAAAGAGATACTCCTGATATATGTAGGAAACTACTACTTAGTGCTCTTGAAGAAACAACGTTGAAATAAAAGCTGAACTGAATATGCTAGAAGGCGATTTAAGTTACAAACAACAAATGCAAAGAAGGGCTTGGCGAACGTGGTATACCTAGGGGAGTTGATTAACAGCTAAATTGTATGTTCTTTAGGGCGTTAGATACAACACAGTCAACTCTCTCTAAGACGGACACCTTTGGGACCGGCACTAAGTGTCCGTCTTAGAGAGGTGTCCGTCTTATAGTGAGTCAAATAAAGGGAGGTAAGAAAGGCAGGGACCAACTCTAAGTGTCCGTTTTGCAGAGGTGTGCGTCTTATAGAGGTGTCCTTTAAGATAGAGTCAACTGTACACATATTTACAGCTCCACTACCCTGCCAAGCTTATCGACTCCATTGTCAGCCGGTGTACTAAAACCAAAAGAGAATAATAGGACAGAAATGAAAACGCCCAGACTAGCAGTTGGGATATGTGAAAATCACCAAAGTTGTAAGTAGTTGTCGAGGGTAAGAATTAAGCCTTGTTGGTGCATAGGTATAGGTGCTTTATTAATATTCAACTGCGTTCCTGTATATAAATTCGTTAGTGTCGAGTAGGTGTAGGTACAAGTAAGTCATTAACATTCACATACCTTCTTGGATACTAATTCGGTATACGTTTACTAATGCATGGTTCAATTTGACCTTTTAATGGGATTGCAATTTTTGTCTTTCCTAGTGGTCTATTCCCCACCCCCGGATACGCAAAGGGAGACAATTCCCCACCGCCGAGCTCCTGATCCACCTCATATACGTTTCTTTGGATACATCTTTTTGAAAGCAATAGTGATTTCCGTACAACAGCAAAATGAGACGTTTTCAGAACTTTTAGAAGCGTTTTCTAGAGTTTATTGAGAGAAGGATAATACATGTTTGTCGTTAAAACATGAACAATGCATTTGAAAACGAAAAGGAAGAAAAACTCTTAAGCGCCTCAGAGTAATTTATAAGAACACTAGTTTGAATGTCTGTTTATTTTATAGTATTAAAAGCCATACATCCGTCAGCCCGTGACCGTTAGAGAGAATGTATGAAAACCGCTAAAAAATTGGGCCTGATCTAAGGTTACTCCTGCAAGACAACAAACGCCTTTCGATTCTTTAGTTTTGTAGTTTGATATTCTTGAAGTTCGGTTTCATTATTGTATAGTGAGACATACAAGGCGACAAAATGTAAAACTCGTAGGTTATTTGTCTCTATACAATTAAATTTTTCAAAATTTCTTTCCACCTAGCTGGAATCTATTGCTAATTGCTCTATTTGTATCTTTCAGGCCGATTTTGAAGCCGTTGTGGTGTTGCCAACTGACAATACTCGTTTTGTCGCTATGAACTGACTACTTTTATCTCTTTTTCATTATCAGTTAGGAACGTTTATTTCGAACGCTAAATTAAGAACAAAAGCTCTGTTATTAGATTGAAACTCTGCCATAGTATCTGCAACAGTACTTGTACATTACCTTGATTTTCTGTGTTGTCTTTCGCTGTCTCATCTTTGGTTTCAGTCTGATCCATTGCCACTGGACTGGTTGCCATACCAAGTTCCTGGATACAAACTGCAATTATTGTGAAGAAAAGCACGATGGAAGCATGTGCCGTCATCTTGAGATACAAAAAAGTTCAAAGCGGAATTTGTCTGCACTGTATAACTGATCAAGTAGGCTGATTGTTCGATGAGCAAGGCCCGTAACTAAATGACTGAGCCACGTCAATCAGGGAACTGAGTATATTGAACCTTCAACGGTTCGCTGCTACGCCGGCTCACTGCTACATCACACTGAAGAAATTATACTTCACGTGTTAACAAACGATTTGAAGAACTCGGACTCTAGGAAGGTTACTGATCGAACGAATTGTTAATCTAGGAAATTTCATTGAAGCCGAGTCGTCTAACACGAAAGAAACAATCTCGAACTTATTACCAAGAACTGATCCAGTTTTGAACTCAAAGGCTTTGTAAACAGGCTAATATTAACATTATAAGAATGTTTGCCAATCAAAATGGTTAGAAATTATCTCTCATCCTAATAATACTGGTAAACACCTCAATTCTAACAGTCTTCAGTAAAATTTGTCCCGGACCAAGGCGTTCGCTTCTGATTTTGTAAGTTATGGCTGTTACAGTCAAGGCAGGTCAAACGTACCCCCCAAAATTCTATTTAATAATGAATTGGTTATTTGAAAAATGAATCCTTTAGTTGTTCCCGTAAATCGGCATTCCTTCATGCGTTATGAGCAGTGAAAATATTTTATAAGAACTTCTCTGTATTTGGTCGCAGATTGAAATATTTGAATGGATAAAATTGCTTCGAAGATATTTACGTCAAATTCAGGGAAATTGAGGAGGTAGAAATATTATAACTGCCTCGCATGTGAATTCACGGCTCATTACGCAGGGCTGTCAACCCCTCACGTCTTCAAATATTGAGAATTGATGGGGGAAGGATGATAAATTACGTCATAATACACACGGCACATGACGTCATTTGTGGAAAAAACGCGCGAAAATGATGTTGTTGGAATTGAAACATTTGACCTAATTGGCTTACTTCGCACCAATAACATTATTGCTTATATTACAACGGCATACCGGATTTTGTGAGGAAACGTTCGATGTTAACAGCAAAATAGCTCAAGCAACGCAAAGTATTCGAAGTTACATTGTCAGAAAGTCGATTCTACAAGAAATGGTGAACTTCGGCCGTTATCCGGGAGATCATATCTTCATTTTAAATTTGTATTTCCGCAGTTTATATCATCTCCATTCCATATAATGTTAATGTTTAACAACCTGTTAAGTATTATTAGTTACTTATTGATAAAACGTTGATTGGCAGATAGTCCAAAGTCTTGTCTACCACATATATATGTTAATTTTGTTTTGATCCCTTTAACTATATAGGAAGATACAACACATTTAACAATACCACCCTTAAAGCCTAAAATTTTTTAAAAAAATTATTTGGGCCTTAAAGGGTGATTGGAACAGTTTTGATATACGGTTACATCTTTGTAGTTGCCAGAAGGTTGGAGCAGTCGCTGACTCAAGTACAAGACACTTCAACTAGCGAACAAAGGCTGCCTTTTGCACGGAGCGAAAAGAAGCAAAAACAATCGCAGTCATATTAGGGGCAGCGATTGTTTTCTGGTTGCCTCTTTTGGTTGTTCCTCGGGCCATTTCCAATAATGTCAACGTTCTTTCAAATTAAACTTCGTCAATCCATACATTAACTGTGTAAGAAGCCGCAGGTGTTATGGGACGTTTGTCAAACTGCTTGAGCTGCACAATCTTGCAAAGGTATAATATAAGTGATTGTTGCCCGTACTAACATACCACGTGATTAAGGCTCAAGAACATTTGACGGTCCAGATACAACTCAACCTCAAACTTATGACATCGCTCTTAAATGAATATCAAAAATAAAGAAAAAAATGGTTTATATATAGTGGATCAATTCGCCAACATCTTGAAATATCGGCCAAAGCCGGTGAATTCAATTACACGCAGCCTCATCGTAAAATTTAAAAAAAATGAAAAACTTCTTTAAAAGAAAAAGAGGAAAACTTATGCTATAGCATATAAATCTGTACAATAGCATTAACATTAAAAAGATTAAAATATTGCTAAGAAAGATCACCTTCTAGACTATACCCAGCAGATGACGAGACTGAACCAGAAGTATATTTAACAATTATTCCTCGAGCCCGAATGGGCTCTGAGTCAATAGCCAATGAGGCCGGAGGCCGCATGGGCTATTGATAATAGACCACTAGTTGGATTTTACTGCATTGATAATAGACCACTAGTTGGATTTTACTAAAAGGGGTTATATGCTTCTGACTGAACCAAATAACTATCGGTCGATAACTCTATTGTCTAACTTCAACAGAATTTTTGCAAAAAATAATGTATAAAATCTTTAATAAACGAAAATGAAAATATTGCAAGGTGGTCACTGAGAATATTAGGTTTAGGTGTCGGGTCATGGGTAACTTTGTTATTGTTTTTGTAACCGTTAAGTGAGTTAATTCATTTAGAATTTTTGCTTTTACGGTTTAACAAATTATTTATCACTTTCCAGGTCTTTTTTTTTAATGTCGAGTTTGCGTCTTACATACTTTACAATTCGTAAAGCTACAGCTAACGTCCGTATTACTCTCTCTATTGTAGGATAACCTCACACGTTATATATAACAATACCTAATATGCGTACTATTAGCGTCACTAGGTGTGTCACTCATCACGCCATTACATCTCTCCTCCCATCACTTGGATATAGTGCAACGGTGCGAAAGAAAACAAAAAAACCTAAACAAATAAACTAAATAAATATTGCTAATAACAAGTAAATTCCTTGTGACCTTTGCAGAATCTAATATAGTAGACAAGCAAATGTTCGCTTTTCGCTGTATTTAGTGTTCTTTGTGGATCTTGTTTTCCTTCTGGGTCTGTCCCAGGACGCATGTCTAGTCTCTCTATGTCACGCTCTGATCCGGGCTGCCCAGATCTCTGCCTACTCTCGTATTAAACTGTGTCGCTGTTTGCTCCTGGCTGCTCATGACCTTGCCGTGATTCACTGGATCTGTCCGCTGACACTGCATCTCCACCCGAGCCTGCTCTGGATTGCTCTGGACCTTGATGGGGTTCACCCATCGGTTCGTCCAGTTCAAAAACACCATCGCTCTCAGAATCATCACACTTAGGTGATTCCCTGCAACCCTTTTTAAGCAGCTTTTAAACGGCGTAATTCCTGCTGCGAATCCTCACACTGTTGCTTTCCTTGACGCCAATGCCTACCATAGGATCCGGGTCACACAAAGGAGTCAGGGTGTTATTCGTTCCTGCTTGCACAACACCGTGTCCCCGACTTAAATTTTCATCACGGCTGTGTGTCTTCTTTTACCAGCGTATTGCCTCATCTTCTGTTTTTGTTCTCGGTCACGACAGCGAGTCGCGTCGTCCCTATGTTTAGGTTGTCCCCTGACCTCAGGGAACTTTCCACGTAACTCCCTTCCGAGCATGAGCCTGCTGTTCAGGATGACTCCAGTGGTTGCATGCTCAGTTGCTCTGTATGGCCTGATTCCCCTCTGCACTTCACTCCTCACAGGTTTGACTTCCAAAGAAGCGATCCCAGTGATCTTCTTTATTCTCTGCATAAACCTTTCTACATCGCAGTTTGCTTCTGCCCATCCGGATGTCACTTAACGGTGCTTAAACCCCTCCTCTTGGGAGTATTCTTCAAATTTATGGCTGTTGAAAGGTGGTCCGTTATCTGATTTGATCTCTTTTTACACCCCATATGTGTCGAACATCCTCCTGATTATCGGTATTGCTGCTTTCACGCTCTTGGACTCCTCGAATTCAGCCACTGGGTATCTGGCATACTGAGAGTAGAATATGAGGGCGATGTCACCACTCGCCATTGGTCCGCAAAAGTCCACGCTGAGTTTTGCGGGCGAAACGATCCGGTCCCCTCTCAAGACAATCCCTTCTACTATGGTTAGTTCATGGAAAACTTGCCTATATTGCTGTGCCCTTGCATCATTTGTATCTATCCAGCCTTGGTTGATACACTTCTATAGCGCTTGTAGTGCTGGATCTTCGTCAGTGGCGTCCTTTACTTGGTTTCTGGTGACAGCTTTGGGCGTGCTGCACGTTACAACATAGTTTACATAACGCCGTACCTCCGTAGTCGTTCTCAATTCAAACTTGGATCACTCGCAGAGTGGTATAGGGTGCCGTGAGGTGTAATCTGATATGCCGGTTCTCTTTCCCAGGACGATGCTCGACCACGAAATCGTAGTCCATCATATGGTTGGCGATCCTTTGGACCCGGATCGAGGATGTAGGGGTGGGTTTGTTGAACACACTTTCGAGAGGCTCTGAGTCTGTCACGATCTTAAAGGGTCTTCCATACAGGAACAGGTGAAACTTATTGCACCCAAAATCACTTGCTAAAGTTTCTGATTCAATATGGCTGTACCATTTCTCCAGGTCGGTGAGGCTGCGACTGGTATACTGCACCACTTTCCAACATTGTCCTCCAGGCAACTGGGAAGAGTGGTCGCTTACGTCAGATATCAAGTTTCCACTGATTTTGACATGTTCAGGGTTCTTTACAAAAATATTATCGATAAGAGTGGATAAGATTATTGCGAGCTTGTGTTGGTTAATTTCGCGATGGAAACGAAGGGAAAAAAATCAAACTGTCTTTCGTGATATTAAGGACTTGAGATTGTCTCTGGGCCAAATTTCAGAACTCTTGCGACTAAGAAAGGAAAGTTAATGCAATGTTCAACTGAAGTGGCCGGATACCGGGCACATACTGTGTTGTTTACATACTGTACGTGCCAGGGAATTCCGCGCTTTGCAAACCAATTGGCCTTGACGTGTAGGTTCACGTGACCTGTTTTCAAGATACCAATGCGGGATTCCGTCGCCAGGATCGTAAGTGCTCTATACAGTCAGCAATTACTTTTCTTACTGACTCCATTAGAAGAAACATGGATGTTGGACTCCTAACAGGTGGACTTTCGTAAGGCACCCAATCTGTTTTCGCGTGAGTTGATCTGTCCAGTCCTCTCTCTTGCCGCCGCTATATTGGAAAACGAGAAGACCCTGGGGACAAGGTTACAGTCTAATTTGAGCGGTGTTGATTTTAGGTGTCAGATTAGAGGAGATATTACTGGAAGAACATCAAAAGTTAGAAACTAACAGCTGAACGTCTAGCTGTACAGGTAAGGCAGGGTAAGGATTCATTCTTGTCTTTGTCTGTTTTTGTTCCTTGTAGTCTCCTCTTTAACTAAAGACTATGCAGCAATATTGAATTTAATAAGCAATGTTCGCAAGTTTAGCTGAGCTTAAAGTGCAGCTTGAACTTATAAAGAAGTTCAAGAAAAATGATGTCCGCTTAAAATATTAATGAACTCCTCTTTATCGAAACTGTAACATTAACCAGCTTAACCAAGATGAAACGCGTTGGTATTTTTGACGAGAAAATCATACGATCAACCCACTTCCGGCTTTGAGCACTGATTGAACTAGCATCGAGTCTTACACAGTAAGCTTATGTATTTTGAAATAATAAACGAACATTTTGATTCTTCAGTGGTAATTAATGGCCGCCAAGGCATTTCGATCAAATTGTAAGTCGGAATAATGCAACTCTTTTTCCTCTTAAATAAGTAAATACTTTCTTGTATTCAACTGTGTAATATCATTAGCCCGCAAGTACCATATCCAAAACGAGAAGTAAATACAGACACGTTTTATGTGCATGAGCTACCGTAAAATTCCAAAAAATAACCCCCGGCGCTTATATTTTTCAAAGGCCCTTTTTGAGGGGCTTACTTTTGGAGGGGCTTATTTACGGAGGGAAATTTTGCGTTTCTAAATTGATTGGGCTAGCCTTATAGTTGGAAGTAAATCTATCGTTTTTGCTTTGTTTTACTTTGTATTTGAGTCTAATTTTCCAAGTACAAGCCCCCCGGCGGGCTTATATTTGGAGGGGCGATTTAACGGAGGATTTGTTGCGTTACCCGTTTGGGGTGCTTATATTTGGATGGGCTTATACATGGAGGGGCTTATTTTCGGAATTTTACGGTATTTTGAATGCTTCAGTGTAACAGTATCGGCAATCTACTGTTTTAATCCTAAATTAAGGCTATGTTTTGTGCGAACTTGGGTATTGATGTAGATTAATGAAAACGAGAACCGCAGCGCATAGCTGACTTATTCGATCTGATAAATTCACTTTTCTTTGTCGTTCCTTCAGACATCTGGTGCAAAATAAACAATTTGTTAAAGTACTATGAATATCAACTCACCAAACGTTGCTTAGAGGGAAGACTCGAAGGTTTCAAGGCTTCTTCATGGTTTCTTAAAATAATGAAGGTCGTCGAATACCGAATAGCTAAGATTTTTATCATTGTTGTAGATGGTTGCATCATCATTATTCACGAGGTTATCACGTGCGATTCTAGTTTAATGAAACAGTCTTTAACTCTCAGGGGCAAACAACGAGAATGTAGTTCAGAACCACTTAAACATAGCATTGTTGAACGTATTTTAGTATTTAAACGGTAGATATAGGTATAATTTTATCCCCTAAAAATGTTTCATCTGTCAGGATTTCCCAGCTGAAAGTCTAGTGATCCGAAAATTGTAGGGATCAAAACTTACACCTTTTCGAAAATTTCAGTCAGAAAAAAGGCTCCCGAAAATTCTAGGTGACCTTTTTATGATTTTTTACCCTGGATGATACCTTAAAAATGGCCGCAATTATACCATTTTTTAGATGTTCGAAAATCCTAGGAAAGGCAGGCAAGCAAGAAATTTTAGAACTAATGTTCCGAAAATTCTAGATCTCAAGTCATCTTCCGGGCAGATATTTTCCAAAAATTGACGTCGGGTGCCCATGAGTTTTTACTTCTTAAAAGAAAAGAGCCTTTGTTTAGGTACTAGTTACAAAACTAAAGATTTCTCTTTCACTTTTTACATTCAGATCATTTTACTTGTCGGAAAGTAAGCCTTAGAAATTAAAAGGACGTTTGATCGATTCACGCTCGCGCATTCTAGTCTTATTTGAAACTTTATAACGGAAGGACGTCTGTGAGCAGGGAATAAGTTAGCACAGAATTTGATTGTCGGCGAATTTCTGTAATCGTCCATCGTTCTGCTAGTGATAAGCTAGCCGTTGTTCACTCGTCTTGCTTGTTTGGGGCTGAGTCTTATTCTGGTCAAAGAGAGAGAAGAGTGTCTGGCAAGGTTTCCAATATAAATCAAAGATTTGTGAACTCATATCTGGCAAACTCTCCAAGTGTTTATATATACACAGTTAAACGCACCTTATAACCTCATCTGCTATTAACGAGTGTCTTTTGGTCCATAACTTTTAAAACAACTGCTGCACAGAATGTCCCTGCGTAACGCAAAAGAGTATTGAAGTATGACTGCACAATAAATGTCACAAAATCTACCTGGGCGGTCCCTTCGGGATTTTCTGTCTTTACGCTGTTCAAGAAAATCGAGATTTTTTCCATATTGACTGTACGACTGTATATTTCAACTGTAAGTACTTTCCTTAATATAAGCGCGAGCAAGAGCCATAAGGACAGAGAGGGAGTCTCCCAGTCACGCCCTTGGGATATCTTAATTTCAAAAAAGTTATTTATACCAATGGCTTCGCAATTAGCCTGGCTGTAAAACAGAGGCTAATGGAACAACTTAGAAATTATCTATTTCATGTTTGTCCAATTTTTCGAAAGTTTCACAAAAATCGCAGGTTTTGTTGAGGCCCTCTCAACCTCCTCTTTCACTGCTTTATACTGTTCAGTGAATTTTTGAATTTTGCAGAAATTTTCAATTTTTTTTAATTTGCAGTTTTCAAAAAAATCACAGATTTTTACCTCCCCTTTTACTGCGTTTCACTAATGCAGTGAATTTTCAAACGTTTTGTAACTTTTGCAAAGTCTGTGTGCAAACCTGGACATATCTCATTAGATCATTTCAGTGCAACCCACCTGCAGTTAGTAATTTATGGGACACTCGATCCTGCAAGGAAACTGGCTGTGTGTATTCTTGCTGTTGAGTTATACCCCAATAAAACAAAAACCAAAACAACTAGGCAATAAGTTAGGCAAGTTTACCTTTTTTATTATTATTGTGTTTCACTATTCATTTGCAAGGCAGTGTCCATGGAGTCTACCTGGTGAAGTGCTCTTCAAATCCTTACCTCAAAATGTCAGGCCTGTGAGTCCAACAGGACCCTTTTGTTTAAAAGGTGGATACATAACCACTATTCACTGGGTTAACTACAGCACTGACAGCTGAGAGTCACATAAGTATTATCTGACAAGTGGAAAGTATGATTAATATGTTACTATAGCAAGGACTTATATTCCCCTTCAACATGTATTAATCAGTCATGGCTGCCTCATCTGATTATCCTGAGGTCGTGAAAGCAACAAGGTCAACAAGGAGTCTGGACAATTCAGAGGTTCATTCTTTTTTTTATTTCTTGTTACAAAAGTTTAATTACTTTATTCATGAATATTATACTATCGTTGACATGTCAGCTGGCATTTGTTGACTGACATTGTTGTCATGTTGACTAATATTAAGCATTACTTCAAATGAGGCCTGGTCAACATTTGACTTGACAGTCGGCCAGTATGTTCACATAAGGGTGCTTTTAGTTCACAAGATCCAAGAAATTTATGGTTAATTACGCCTTGTTTGTTTAGTGGATAACTTCGATTTACCTCTATACACCTAATTGAAGTTTGTGTTTTGTATTACATTTGAAAAAACGAAAGTGACAAATACATGCCAAAACATATCAAAGTCATTTCCCACGCAGAAGGACATTATATATTTGTGACTCTTACATACAGGGGGAACTAACGCGGTTGCACAGTACTGAGATCAAATTGCAAGATGGCGAATCGTCTAAAGAGAGAATTATGCCCAACATAGCCTGCGAAAGGCAGAGGTTTCTCCTCGCTTATCGCCGTTGAGAGCGAGGAGAAACGTCTGCCGTTCGCAGGTTATGCCCACCAAAACGTTATGCAGAGATGCAAAATGATCTGAAGGGTTGCAATGCCAAAAAAAAAGTCGAAAACGGACAAAAATCTTTACGATATAGAGATTGTGCAGGTGGACAAACAAAGGAAACGATTTAAAATTCATTTTGTTGGGTTTGGATATCAATTCGACGAGTGGCGTGATTTCAGAACCAGCGGTGGAGAGTTTCCGTTTGTTTGGAGAAAAGTTTTGTCCCCGGCGAAGAATCATTGGAGGACAGAAGGCATTTTTTATACCGAGCTATTAAAAGGAAGATGTGGTCAAGCCGGCGGGAAGACCCTGAGGTCAGGATAGAATTACCCATAGAACTTGATGTGTTTTCCTGTGATCTCAGTCGGGCAACCAAAAGCAACTTTCAGATAGCGGAAACAGAAAAAAAAACTACTTAATTTATTGACGAACGTCAAAACAAAAATGAGGGGAAAAAAGGATAATCAGAAAGTAAAATGGTTAACTCGATCGGTCGACTACTTAATTGTTTATTTGGAGCGTAAACGAGGGAAAATCGCCTTGCCCTGATGTATTTTCCCCGCCTTTGAACCCGTCGGACTGGTCTTCTGTAGCCGTCACGAAAGCAGCAAAGCTTGGCAGTATAGCCAGCGCCAAAGTGCTGAGTTCAATGCCCATTTTACGCTGACAAAGTTCAACAAACCGGCTTAAATTATATATCAAAACGCGCCAAATTTATTGTAGGTTTTGAATCTGGCGATAACAGGCAAGTTGGAGCATGCGTAGTCTCATTCTTGGCCCAGCTTTCGCTCTATTCGAGATTTCTTGTAACAGACTTGTAAAATATTATTCAATAGGTAACATGAAATCGCTTGTTTACGTGTGAAGATATCTCACTATTATTTTTATAATTTAGCAATTATTTTCTTATTAGAGTTTAACTACGTGACAAGGGATCAGTATTAAACAATTATCATAATTTTTTATTGTAAAAGACTGAAGCAAATTAAGTGGGCATGGTTCTTGAACAGAAGTAGCAACAGTTTACAACAGTTTATTGTTATTTATTGTCATTGCTCCTGTAGGCTTGCTATGGTGACACCAGTGTTCCAGTGTTACATGTTACTCTTCTTGGTGGTGAGTGGGGTTCATCTGCTGGTGGGTTATCAACCATAAACAGAGAGCTTGCTATTCACCTTTCAAATCATTCAGCGGTGAAGATTTCTTTACTAGTCCCAGAGGGAGTTTGCAACACTGAAGAAATAAGAGAAGCACATGGCTATGGAATCACTATTGTTGAGGCGAAACAACGTGCAGCATATGATCGTCTTGATTGGTTGAGCATCCCGCCCCAGGACCACTACATGGACATCGTTGTTGGCCATGGTGTTAAACTTGGTCGGCAAGTACAATTCATTAGAGATTCTGCTCAATTTCCAAATTGTAAGTGGGTACAAGTGGTTCACACTGCTCCAGAGGACCTGAGCAGATACAAATGCTATAATGACCCCATTTCAAAAGGTGAAACAAAACACGAATCAGAAGTTGGGCTTTGCAAACTTGCTGATCTTATTGTGCCGGTGGGACCCAGACTAAAAGAAGCATACTCTTCATATTTACAGCGATGCAAGACAAATCAAGACCTTTTTTCCATTACTCCGGGCCTTTTTCAAAGGGAGTTTGGGGATTTAGTGGCAAAACATTATCCTAATGAAGATGGTGAATTTAAAGTGTTGTTATTTGGTCGTGGGGATGATGAGGACTTTGAACTCAAAGGATACAACATTGCTGCTCACGCATTTACTGATCAACGGTTGAATAAAAAACCTTATCATCTAATCTTTGTCGGAGCGCCTGAAGGAAAGCAAGAAGAAGTTAGAGAAAAACTCCTTCAGCGCGGTATTGTGGAAGCGCAGTTGACTGTTAGAAAATTTGTACAAAGTAGAGAGAGACTGAAAGATTTGCTGTGCGAAGCTGACCTTGCCATAATGCCGTCAAAATCAGAGGGATTTGGTCTTGTCGCACTTGAGGCCTTGTCTGCAGGACTACCCATTCTTGCAGGCAGTAAGTCAGGATTTGCCAAAGCATTAGAGAATGTTCTTCATGGTAATGCATGCATCGTGAATTCAGATGATCCTGCAGAATGGGCAAAAGCAATAGAAGCTGTTCATTTAAGGCATGGAATGAGGCTTCAAGAGATAAAATCACTTAGAGCATCTTATGGAGAGATGTACTGTTGGAAGGAGCAATGTGAAGCACTTGTGAACAGAATGCAGAGATTGGGACATGGTAAGAGTTATTTGTTAAGCGCTGGTGTACTTAATTATTCGTGTTGTACCAGACATCACACTGATATAGTTAATTCGTAGCACAATATACAGCTGTTTTGAGAAAGGTTGTCGGTAAAAGTACACGCGACAATTCCCAAAGGTATTGTTGGTGGTTTTGAGTTTACTGTTTTTCAAACAAAAACAACAATGGCACAAACGCCCATGAACGTATGCTTGCGAGTGGTAAACTAAAGGAAAGCAACAAAGGTGGATTTGACACTACAGTGCCAGGAACACTGTATTGATCATATCCTGTATTACCTTTCGGGATTGTCGCGTGCAAATTGTTCCGACAACCTTTCTCGAAACAGCTGTATGCAAATGCAAGAGTGCAGTGATATACATGTGCACAGCTTTTAAAGTTGTATTGGAAGTTTTCAATGCATGAAAAGATCTGTGATGTGTAGAATTAAAAGGTCTCCACCATGTTTAAGGGTCACAGTTGTCTATGACTGTCAGAATTTATTTTTAGTGTTACTTGGAACGAGTGGTTATGGGTGTTGGAGATGTGAATGTGTTAGAAAAACATAATTTTTATACATTATTTTGCAAGAAGCTTATAATAAAGGCTTGTTCTCGCACCAGATGCTTCTGATATACCAAAGGATGTTTCAGTCACTGAAAAGCAGTCTGTTGCAAAAACACATGCTTCAACGTCTGGTTTCTCGGGAGAGCAATGTCCAGTTGATGAACAGCCTAAAACTGAGGATGCAGCCAGATTAAGTGAAGAATCTCCCTCAACTTGCCATACTCCTAGCATTTCAGGGCTCACTTCTGACCAAGGTATGGAATTACATTGACAAGGTGCCACTCTTTTTTATTGTGTCTTAATAAACTCTTGATAATTTTTGGCCCTTTTAAAGGGACGCGATCACGGTTATGCGCATATGCGCCGTTTGTCTCTTCAGAATAACTAAATTCGAAATCGCCATTACCGGTACAATCATTGAAAGTCTTTCGTTTTATTCCGACATCTGTCGCTTTGGCTGGCTTAGTTATACTTCGGTAGTGGTGATTAACGTGTGGCTGTGTTGTTTGACTGGTTACGTTTTAAAAAGAAGACGCAAAAAATAATGTTTTGATCATGGAGGTTCAGAAGAGCATCGTGGCCGTCCGGCAACAGGACTTTCTCGAGAGTCTTTGGAGATAGAGAAGCTTAGCCGATCGATCTGGTATGATTCTAGGAGTAGTGTGTGGCTTACGAAAAGAATACACGACACTTGGAAAGTGGTTAAAGGCATGAGTTCGTTCAAGTTTGATTTGATTTTTGACTCTAACCTGTCGTTATACCGCAACAGGCCGCGCGATCTTCACCGATCTGGTACACTTGAAATGTTCCTTGTATCTTTGCTTTACGATCGTATATGTTTAAGAATTGATGTTTTTAAAATAAATTATTGTCTGAATATTCTGTTTATAATCTAGTTTCTTTATGTGTTCTACTCGATAACATTTATTTGCGGAACACTGACCCGATGATGTAACGCGAATGAATTTGTTCATTTGCTGATAAGCAACTGAAATTTATCCTCATTTAAGGATAATCTTTATACTCGTACGTTGTGTGTGTTTGTCACCGGTAAGGCGCTTTTTGTAGGTAATTCTGGGTTTATATAAGGCGAACTGAGAGAACAGTAACAAAATGTTTGTTCACAAATTTTGTTTGCCGATCGGTGTCTGCTTTGTTAGCGTGGGTACGACCTCGTAAAAATACACGTTGGTAAATGTTTGTTTCAAAGCAGGAGAGGGCTGTAAATTTTATTCTTATCGGCTGCAACATATATCTGCGGAGTAGCAAAGAATAAACTTGAATTATGGGGATATATAAAATCAAACCAAATGCCCGGAAATACTCTCGCGTCGCAAACAATGAATTTGAATTTTGTAAATTTACTTGCGTGCATCTAACTCACTTCCCATTGGTTTAAAAACAATCAGCTACTGTCAGAACTCACACATGCGCATTATCGTGAACCAGTCCCTTTAAAGAGTAACTGTTTTTTTTTTTTCACTTTCTGCTATTCACCATTTTCACAAAGACGATAACACACCTTGTGTACTTTCTGAAATTTTGCATAACCTTTGTCTTTGATTTCTCTTGGGACAGGTGTAATTCCCAGGAGAAATTGGAAAAAATCGGTTATGCAAAATTTGGGGGGTAAACAAGATGCATTACGGTCTATGTGAAAATGGTGAAAAGCTAAAGAATGCTCTGTTTGTGTAAAAGCTTTCCCACACAACAACGAGTTGAGAAGCTTGCCTCTCAGTTTCCTTATACATTCGTAAATTGTAATAAGAAGCCGTAATTAACTTGTAGTTAATACGCTTTTAATCAATAATTTTCAGAAACAGCAAACACTGTTAAGATGTCAATCACCACACGTGATTTAAGTAGTGAATTGGAGGACGTCGTGGATAGAATGTTAAGGCAACAACTTAAAGCATACTTGGAATACAATAAAAAAAACAAGCTTTCTACAGCCAGCGGACTGAGTGACTTCATTAAGCATGTAGAAAATACTTACAACTTTTAATGAAGCTGCAGAGAGGTTTTTGGTAACTGATGATATGAAAAAAAAAGTCAACTTGGTGACACTCAGATTAAAGACTATTATTGAGGAAGAAAGCTATTTGACTTGCAAGAAAGCTCTTATGGAAAAGTCAGGTGAGTTGGTTTAGCACAATTTCTTGGGCAATTATCTTTAGAGGTCTTAAGACAAGAAACTGATTGAATTCTCTGCTAGTGCTTTACAGCAATGTACTCATAAGTATACATGTACATGTAAAAATTAATCGGTCATCTTAGAGACTTCAATCGAGATAATGGAACAATAGACGTTTTTACCGATACGGCGGCCATATTGAATTAATTCTATTCAAGGAGTATTATGCGATGCCCAGGGGGCATGAGCACGATCCGTTGTATTCGCCAAGTATTAGAAATATGGCCTTTCGACACTGTACTGTTTGTATATTTCTCGGGGAAAAAGGTGATCATTATTACATCCAAACGCGGCACAACGACCTTTTTCCCATTAGAATCTTATCCTAAGAAAACTTAAAGAAAAAATGCCCCGAAAGGCGCTCGTAAATACTAAACAGATTATGTGCTTATGCCCCTGGGCATCCCATAATACTCCTTAAATCTAACTTATTCAACGTTGTGTACAAGATTTTAAAAACACTTCAAAGCATAACTTAAGATTATGTACTAATAAATCAACGCGGGATAAAAGTAAATTTGCCAAACTGCTCGGCCAATGACATTGTGTATAAAGGTTGGTTGCTTCTTGACAGCAGCTATCCTGGGTCAAAAGAGCCAGTGTTTTGAAATGATCATTCACCCCATGTAAGGGAATTCAAGTTGCCTGGCTGTGAGTATTTTCTGTAACAGTGCATTCACAAAAGATGAATTCAATGCATATTTTTTGTTATTTTACTCTGTGTTAGCAATCAGCCGTAACGTGTCACCTTCAACTGAATCAGATAAGGAAGCAGCTTCACCTCTAACTGACACAAGCCCAGAAGATTCTGAGGTAGGTGCTTTGTACTTGAGACTAAAAATGATAACAAGTAAAGACTAGAAAGGAAAAGAAATCGGGCTGTTGCATGGGGTGCATGTGTGGCTGTGTTGTTTGACTGGTTACGTTTTAAAAAGAAGACGCAAAAAATAATGTTTTGATCATGGAGGTTCAGAAGAGCATCGTGGCCGTCCGGCAACAGGACTTTCTCGAGAGTCTTTGGAGATAGAAAAGCTTAGCCGATCGATCTTGTATGATTCTAGGAGTAGTGTGTGGCTTACGAAAAGAATAAACGACACTTGGAAAGTGGTTAAAGGCATGAGTTCGTTCAACTTTGATTTGATTTTTGACCGCACCTGTCGTTATACCGCAACAGGCCGCGCGATCTTCACCGATCTGGTACACTTGAAATGTTCCTTGTATCTTTGCTTTACGATCGTATATGTTTAAGAATCGATGTTTTTAAAATAAATTATTGTCTGAATATTCTGTTTATAATCTAGTTTCTTTATGTGTTCTACTCGATAACATTTATTTGTGGAACACTGACCCGATGATGTAACGCGAATGAATTTGTTCATTTGCTGATAGGCAACTGAAATTTATCCTCATTTGAGGATAATCTTTATACTCATACGTTGTGTGTGTTTGTCACCGGTAAGGCGCTTTTTGTAGGTAATTCTGGGTTTATATAAGGCGAACTGAGAGAACAGTAACAAAATGCTTGTTTACAAATTTTGTTTGCCGATCGGTGTCTGCTTTGTTAGCGTGGGTACGACCTCGTAAAAATACACGTTGGTAATGTTTGTTTCAAAGCAGGAGAGGGCTGTAAATTTTATTCTTATCGGCTGCAACATATATCTGAGGAGTAGCAAAGAATAAACTTGAATTATGGGGATATATAAAATCAAACCACATGCCCGGGAATACTCTCGCGTCGCAAACAATGAATTTGAATATTGTAAATTTACTTGCGTGCATCTAACTCGCTTCCGATTGGTTTAAAAACAATCAGCTACTGTCAGAACTCACACATGCGCATTATCGTGAACCAGTCCCTTAAAAGAGTAACTGTTTTTTTTTTTCACTTTCTGCTATTCACCATTTTCACAAAGACGATAACACACCTTGTGTACCTTCCGAAATTTTGCATAACCTTTGTCTTTGATTTCTCTTGGGACAGATGTAATTCCCAGGAGAAATTGGAAACAATCGGTTATGCAAAATTTGGGGGGTAAACAAGATGCATTACGGTCTATGTGAAAATGGTGAAAAGCTAAAGAATGCTCTGTTTGTGTAAAAGCTTTCCCACACAACAACGAGTTGAGAAGCTTGCCTCTCAGTTTCCTTATACATTCGTAAATTGTAATAAGAAGCCGTAATTAACTTGTAGTTAATACGCTTTTAATCAATAATTTTCAGAAACAGCAAACACTGTTAAGATGTCAATCACCACACGTGATTTAAGTAGTGAATTGGAGGACGTCGTGGATAGAATGTTAAGGCAACAACTTAAAGCATACTTGGAATACAATAAAAAAAACAAGCTTTCTACAGCCAGCGGACTGAGTGACTTCATTAAGCATGTAGAAAATACTTACAACTTTACTTTAACATCTGTGGGTGTTGGATCTTTGGTAATAAAAGGTCAGTGTCCTGACCTGCAAAGCCTGGAAAGTCTGTGGAATGATTATTGTTCTGGTGTCCTGAATGAAGCTGCAGAGAGGTTTTTGGTAACTGATGATATGAAAAAAAAAGTCAACTTGGTGACACTCAGATTAAAGACTATTATTGAGGAAGAAAGCTATTTGACTTGCAAGAAAGCTCTTATGGAAAAGTCAGGTGAGTTGGTTTAGCACAATTTCTTGGGCAATTATCTTTAGAGGTCTTAAGACAAGAAACTGATTGAATTCTCTGCTAGTGCTTTACAGCAATGTACTCATAAGTATACATGTACATGTAAAAATTAATCGGTCATCTTAGAGACTTCAATCGAGATAATGGAACAATAGACGTTTTTACCGATACGGCGGCCATATTGAATTAATTCTATTCAAGGAGTATTATGCGATGCCCAGGGGGCATGAGCACGATCCGTTGTATTCGCCAAGTATTAGAAATATGGCCTTTCGACACTGTACTGTTTGTATATTTCTCGGGGAAAAAGGTGATCATTATTACATCCAAACGCGGCACAACGACCTTTTTCCCATTAGAATCTTATCCTAAGAAAACTTAAAGAAAAAATGCCCCGAAAGGCGCTCGTAAATACTAAACAGATTATGTGCTTATGCCCCTGGGCATCCCATAATACTCCTTAAATCTAACTTATTCAACGTTGTGTACAAGATTTTAAAAACACTTCAAAGCATAACTTAAGATTATGTACTAATAAATCAACGCGGGATAAAAGTAAATTTGCCAAACTGCTCGGCCAATGACATTGTGTATAAAGGTTGGTTGCTTCTTGACAGCAGCTATCCTGGGTCAAAAGAGCCAGTGTTTTGAAATGATCATTCACCCCATGTAAGGGAATTCAAGTTGCCTGGCTGTGAGTATTTTCTGTAACAGTGCATTCACAAAAGATGAATTCAATGCATATTTTTTGTTATTTTACTCTGTGTTAGCAATCAGCCGTAGCGTGTCACCTTCAACTGAATCAGACAAGGAAGCAGCTTCACCTCTAACTGACACAAGCCCAGAAGATTCTGAGGTAGGTGCTTTGTACTTGAGACTAAAAATGATAACAAGTAAAGACTAGAAAGGAAAAGAAATCGGGCTGTTGCATGGGGTGCAATCTGCAGAAATAATAGCTCGGAAAAAAGTATGACAGTTTTCAGACCCAGTTTTATTAGACAACGTCAAAGAGAAAGACTGGTTGGATTACATTTAATAAGTTGGAATTGTATGAAAATATTATAATGGAAAGATTGAGCTATTTGGAAAAAATAGCTCATATGTCAGTGGTTTGAGCGTATGTATCTTCGTGGGTTTGTGGTTGACGACAGGGTTAATTAAAGGGCCATGCTTCAAATTAGGGTTTCGGATATAGGTCTGGCTTTGTGTGCTCGTATGTCTGTTGCAGGGACTAGTAAAGTTGAAGGTACTATTAGTGGGTGCTTAGGAACCAATGAGATTTTGGCATCTAAACATGATTTTGCTTAAGCTCAAACAAGGGCACTTTCAGACCGCCATCTTAATTCTTCACATTTTTTTCATCTTTTATTACGGTTACTAAGGGTGTCTTGAAGCATAACACTGAAATATAGCTGAAATATCTTCATGATTCAAACGCTGAATATCTTAGTGTGGGTGCGGCTTAACTTAAGTAGAAACAATAGCGTTAGGAAATAAAATTGGAAGAAGCTAATTGACAGATATTATTGCTTAATTGAGTGGAATAACATGATATCAATGCTGTCTATCAGTATTTCGGCAGTTTGATGATTATCTTAGAAGGAAATGTGTAGTTCCAGAAAATATTCATAGCCTCCTCCCTGCCACGGAGGGCAAGGGGAGGGGGGGTCCAGAAGGAGGCACATTTCGAGGGGGTGGGGAGTTGCTTAAAGAGGTTTTTTTTTTCGGGGGATCTGGATAAGATTGGTGAGGTACTAATAAATTAGTAACGGAACTGCCACATAAGCTGTTAACCAAACTGCAGTTTTATAATTAACCTTAACGATATGGAAAGTCACTCAGTCAACGACAAGTTCTGGAAATTGTAAATATTTTAATTTCTTTCAAAGTGCAACCTCCGCATCCACCGGTATATGGAAAAGTAATAAATTATATACCCAGCTTTTTTTGTGGGCCATTCATTTTAGAAAAAGAACATTTAAGACACTGGTAAAATTGTTGGAATAAACGTTTTAAGTTGTTGTCTAAATACAGTATGTTGCCCAGTATCCGGACGGTACCAGTATCCGGACACTTGAAACAAAAACTCAAATTTTGAGGTGCCCTTTTCAGTTCTCGGTAAACGAAGTATTTCGAATGAAAGCTGAACATTTCAGCTTTAAGATGAAAGTTTTGGCGATTTGAAAGCTTGCGAAACAGTCGCAGAAGACGCCGTTCTGATCAAGTGAATAGACTTTTCATGGCTAATATTTACGCTGTTTATTGCGCAGTAAAATTAGTGCTGCTCAGAAAAGGGAGGGTAATGTGTGATATTTTCAAAAAAACTGTTTTATTTTTAACGTGAAGATACTTAAGGAAGTCAGGTTTTGAGAAAGTTTATTAATTCTTCTTGAGATTCTATTTGTTTGGAATAACGGAGGCCAGAAACATTCACTAAGTATTGATGTCAGGTGCCCAGTATCCGGACAGTTTTTTCTTTGCTGTACAGAATCGATGAATTAGCTATGTACATTATCCGGATAAGATTTATTTCATATCAGTAACTATAATTAAAGCTTAGGATATATGATATAGTCGTAAAATGTAATTCTACTCAACTCTGTATGGAAATTTTCTTCACTCATTCAGAGGCGACTTGATTTCGTGTGCACGGCTTGTTTCGCGTGACTGCATTTTCTATATATAACCGAAAGCGTCTGAGTTGAACCTGGAATTCTCATACTTACCCCAGTTGTGACTGCTATGGGGTTGCAACGGTCTCAAAAATGTCACAAAGGGATTGAGAGATGTGAAAGAAGGAGGAATTAGTGCTAGAAAAGCCCGCTTATTGTGGGCACTGAGCATGAAGAAATCAACACTGCAGGTCAGACTAAATAGGAGAGTGACCTTTGACCGTCGGATTGAGGTCCCTTCCCCGAGCTTTTTTTTTTTAATAAAAAATGAAGAAAAAAAGTCTTTTGTAGATTGGCTAATTGAGCTTGCAAACTGCGGCTTCGGTATGTCCACGGATGCCTTCCTTAAATCAGTGAAAAAGTTCCTAGACAAGGAAGTGAGAATTATACCGTTTTTAAGACAGCCGCTCGCGTTCCCCGCCATACCCCAGTCATTTGTTGTTTTATTTCACGATGCTACGTTATATTTTTGGAATCGATTGCCAGACTACTTTGCAAGTGCAAGAGAAGCTTATAAGTCTCTTGCCTGTCGAAATTTATGTACAGTTACGTTGTTATTGTTGTGTCCGGATACTGGGCCAGCTGTCCGGATACTGGGCAACATAGGAGCTCTGCAAAAATATTAATTTCGAGATGGAAACAAAGGCAAGAAAGTTTAACTGTCTCTCGTCATATTAAGGACTAAATAGATTTTCTCTGGGCGAAATTTCAGAGCTCTTGCGATTAACAAAGGAAAGTTATTGCAATCTTAAACTGAAGTGTCCGGATACTGGGCAACATACTGTATTACAACTGTCTGATTCGCATAAAATTGGTCTTTAAATGAGGGAATGTCGATTCAGAGAACTTAGCTCCGAAATTTCCCAACGAGGCGGGTCCATGTTCCTCACTCCACTATCCCCCCTCCCCCGCAGACGTTCTTAAGGGTTCGTCACGCGTTCCTGTTTCTCCAATGTTAGTGGGGCAGGAACGCGTGACGAACCCCTAAGAACGTCTGCGTGGGAGGTTAATTTTTGCCTAACCCGGCCAGGATTGGTCCCTTACCTGCTGAGCTAAAATTTAGGTAGAACACTGCAGTCCCAGGGATCAAACCCGTCACTTTCCGCTCTTCCGCCCAGCGGTCGATCAAAGGGGCTAACCCTACCGAGATTTAAATTACATTTCTTGTTTAATCTGCCTGTGTTTCGAAAGTAAATCCCCCGGGGGGCACTCAAATAAGTTCGGGTAGAGGTGTGCCGCCAAGCCCTTGAAACCCTGACCCTTGATTGCTCATTTTGCTACGCTGTTTAAGACGAGACGTTATATTATGACCCTGATTCGTTACGTTTTGCATACAGAATTAAGTGATTTTTCAAAGTGAAATCATGGAATTAGATTTTTTGGGAAAACCCGTTCCTTCCACAAATCGAGACCACTCATTTCAAGACTTTAAATAGGGAAATTGTATAACTATGTTTAAGACTCAAGAACCTGAAAACCATGCCCTGTTCTGAAGCACATACCTGCCCTTGGCCAAATAAAGGAGCACTCCCCCTTCGGAAGGAAAACTAGATTGAACAACCAGGACCAGGAAGTAGATATTGTAAGGGAATTGATCTGCGGGACTTTATGTATTAAAACGAGCCGTATACTCTCTAACGAGTCTAACAGACAGCACATTGTTAGCTCCATCGTTACTTTGATAGGGATTTCAATATTTCTCGTTGCTCACAGAAGGTAAACATCTTCGTTTTGTTCTTAGGCGATAGGTAGAAGGGCTTTGATGAACGCTTTACGTGACGGTAACACTCACAAATCTTTCAAACGTGTCTCCACTCCGCCAGAGCCGCCAAACAAGCCCGTCCCTACCCCGCTAGAACCCCCAAACAGGCCCCTACTGTTCCTCCCTGAAAGACCAAGAAGGCCTGGTCGACCTCCACCTTCTCCTCGGTCCCAGCACGAGCCGAGAGTGTCTCCAACGCGTATGATAGGCAGTAAATCTCGATCACCGTTGCCTCGAAGTCGGATTGTTAGCGCTTCACCAGGTACCCCTAGCACAGAGAAACGCTCGTCTGATAACCCCCCTGATAAGCCGCTACCCCCTGCTTCTAAAAAGAGGCCGGTTCCACGTCGTAATATACCCGAATCAGAGCAGTTTCGAAAGGGCCGTGACGCCACCGTGACCGTTCAGTTGGTTCTTACACGCTCCATTAAAGTTGATGTAGCGGCTTCTACCCAAGACTTGGTTCGTGCCGCCGCCAGTACTTTTAAGCTTTCTGAGGATTCGTTTGCATTGTGGTAAGGCGATTTCTATTTTTGATTAAACCTCTTTAATTACCCCCTTGCCATTAAGAGGAACTGAAGTGTATAATTTTAGCAGTTAGTCGTTCTATCTTGACATTATCATGCTGTGACTGAAACTCTTATCTAGCCTAAGAAAACTGCAAAAGGTCTAGCAAACATACTGATGCACTGCCCAGCTGCCGATTGGTCGTGCCGCGTGGGAAATTTTCTGAAACAATCAGGAGCACTTCCCAGATCTGGGTAGTGACACGTCATCAGACGGTATGGAATTTCTCCGCTCGTTCCTCAGACGTCATTTCGCGGGAAACCAGTAGTAGCGTCGCAAAATGATGGCTGTTTTCACAAGCTAACTCTTATCGGGTTTTAAGCCGTAAGGTGGCGGAGGTATTAAGGGTGTGAATTGCGTCAGCAAGAAATTTTATTTTTCCTATTCATTATTTTAGGTTTATGAGAAATGGCCAGCTTGCTGCCCTTCAAGATAAAGATCTAGAGGGAATTCTCAACTCCCCAGCAAACAACATGGAAACTATTTACTGCTATGAAAATAAACCTCAGTAAAGATTGTTTGATAACTAATTTTCTTACAGGAAACTACTGAGTAATTTTTTTTACTTGGTAATGTAACGCTTCGAACCGCTTTTTTTTTTTGTGAATCGTTCTCGGTAATGACCTGGTTAGAGTGGGATCTGTTGAGTGTCGAAACTAACAGACCATTTCCTTGTTTCCCAAGCCTCTTCTAGAGAACTCTAAGTGCGAAGTATTTAGAAAACAAAAATTAACTGAGTTGTCATGCAAATGAAACTCGTTATTAAATGAAAGATTTTTCACTTGGCCTCACTTTGAAAGCGAGAATTTTGGAAACTCGGAAATGGCCTACTTTGTTAGCCAATCAGCATTAAAACAAAAACCAATTGTGACTTGCTGACTCGGATTTCCCTGCCCTTGGTGCTGGCTTGGAAATCTGTTTGGTTCGTTCAATTGTCTTTGCGCATCCTGGTTGGTCGAGGTAATTCCCTCCATTGGGCGATAGTCAAGTGAATATTGCTGTCAGTGATACAGAGCTAGGTTTCGTTGAGTAAATTACTTTTTATCTTTATCTTTCGATTTAGAAAAAAAATCAGTTGGTGTTGTTTAGATTTAATAAGAGTCATAGTAAAAGAAATTAGACAGAGAAATCACTGAGGACGTACATTCTAATTATCTTGTAAGCGGAAATGCCTTTTAGTTCGCGTTGTTTCGAATTTAGCCAATTCTGCGTATCAAAGAAACATTCCATGAAGTTTTGAATAGCATATTGTTTTGAATGTTACCCTTGATCTTTTTGTAAGGTTCCTGTTAGAGACGTGTCGAATCTTTGTGAGAATCTTTAATAATCAAGTAAACTAACTTCTTCCTTCAGTCTTAGCAAATTTGGTGATTTCATAAACTAGAAGAATAAAAGGCATTATAGAATATATTAGTCTTCTACGATTTTAGTCCAAATAGTCTTAGAGTCTTAAATAACGGGAAGTTCTTCTCATTACTTTTCATGCAGTTCGATGTTATTGTTTTGAATATTTAATGAACAACTTAAGAGTTCAATAGCTCAGGCGCCGATCGCTTCTTCAAAACATTCTCGACTTTAGAGTTATTCTCTATTGCGTATTACTGAGAACTGAAGGACTGAGGCATGACTAAGGCTACGCGTGTGCAGTTTTTCTCAGAACCTTCGCGGCCTTTCATGGCCTAAAAAACCGAAAGCTCTGAAGTCGAGAATGCTCGTAGAAGAACTTGATTTTGTCGGGTTATTTATTTGATGATACATATTGTATCATGCCGTTGTATACGGCTTATGAGTGTCTAAGGTCATTGCCCATTTGCGTCCACACTGAGATTTATAGAAGTGTAAGGCCTGTTTTGAAGGTCTCTTATTTTTGTAAGCGAATTAATTAATACAAGTATTTTACAGTAAAAAAGTATAAAGTGAGATATTTCAAACGGTTTTATACCTACAAGAAAATAAGTAAGATTTTCATAAAGTTGCAGTAGTCTTTATTAATGATGCCAAAAATCATAGCCGAAAAGCGCGATTCAAAAACGTAACCAACGCGCGTATAAATAGGTTCGGCCACCTTAAGGACCTGTTTACAGAAAGGTGGGGCTCCCGAGGTAGGGGAGGTAACCCGCTTAGGTGGGGTAACCCACCTGTCCATATAATCTCTCATTTTAATTTGAACACGTTTACATGATAGGTGGGGTGACCCCCCTCATGTTACCTCACCTATCTGGTGTCCCCCACTTCCATGTAAACAGGCCCTTCGAGTCTTCCCTCTAACTAAAGCAACGTTTGGTGAATTGATGATTCATTGCCTATTTCATACCGCGTGGAAGCCTGGCACTACCGGATTTTCCCGGACTTTTTAAATTCCGGATTCAAAAAGGCTTCCAAAACAGAGGGTAAAGCAAAGGTCATTGCGTGCAGTTGAAACGATATTAAGGGCCAGATTACTCCAGAAATTTATTATTCTACAGCAAAGAACAGTAGTTTTACTGCTATGAAGAACTTCGATTAAAAACCTTGAGAAAAGAAAGATTTAATCGGAGACTTTCGCTACTTGAAGTATTGGAAGGATTCCCGAATTGTTCGACAAAAAATTTGAACAAAGAACCGTCGCGTTTTTTAAGGCGCTGGATCGACCGAATATTGGGGGATGATAAGGGAGTGGGTGTACCTGTTTTTACGAACCGTAAAATAAAGACTACTAAAAAGGGAACATGCCAGAGTGACCCTGAGTGAAAGGGCATCGTCGCATTAGGTCGGCAAGGCTTACATTAGGTTTTCTCTCCGTCGCTGCTTACGGTCTCAGTAAAAAATCCTAAAGATCTGACCAAAGACAATTCTCACTGAACATAGATAAAAGCAAGTATACTTCAGTCTTAAAAGAGAGGCATTTCTCTTCCGGTAACACTGCAGTTCCTGTCAGACCAGACCTCATGCATTGAGCAATGTTAAAAAACACAAGTAATTTTTCTTGGGGGGATAAATTGTATATAGTATATAGTGTCTTTTTGAGGCCCCTGCGTGTGATTCTGTACCTTCCAGTTACATTGCAATTCTAGTAATTTACTCACTGCTTAAGACATCTATAAATTCATTGATCTGAAAATGTCAAATGGCAATGGCTTACAAGAGCTCACTTGTTGAGCTGCCTCTTTTTGGAACTTATTGGGTCTACGAGCATGTTTACAATTTGGGCAATCACCTTATAATCCAATCAAGAATAGTCAAGAATGTCACGTACATCTACCTCAGTTGGCTAGCATGCACTGAGTTTAGACTAGTCCCTTATTCTCCAGCATGTTGATTTAAGAACACTAGGTTAAACATACATAACGCCACAAAGTTCACTACATTCGGTACCTTACACGGACATTAGGGAGTTTAAGATACGGAGACTAAGGACTACGAACTACGGCTGGACGAGAGTTGTCCTTTGTTTGTAGCACTGGGTTGAGTCATGCAAATATAGAACGTTAAGATTGCGCTACAGACAGTAGACTACGAGAGAAGAGGCGGAGAGGGAAACAACACGCAAAGATTTTCTTGTTTTCATCACAGTTCAAAAAAATGCAAGCCAGTTTTGCATGTGATCTTATCTTTAGAACAATGAAAAAATTCTTCCGTATACTTGAAGGAAGCAATTACGTCGGGTGAAATTGGTAAACAAAGTTTTAGTTATACAGGTTTTATTTTTTTCGCCAATGAATACTAATGTCAAATATTAACCCATTCGCTCCTGGAAATTTTGCCGAAAAACGCGTTTTGAAGGTACTCGAGTGGTTTTCTGGTCACTGTCCTGCTATAAAGAGCCAAAACTAACCACAGACCGGTTTACAGGTCGTACACTTCACGGCCTTCTGATCCAGATGCAAAATATTAGCTTACGAAGTTCGGGCATGCGCAGAAAGCAAAATCTCGATTTACTTTTCGCTTTGTCTCCTCCCCCCTTTTTTCGCTTTTCTTGCCTCATTTTGCTGGGCATTCAGTAGGCTTCATTTTGGTGGGAATAGTTTTTAGGAAAGCTTTTAGGATCTTAGGATTAGGTGAAAGGAAAGGTAGGTGAGCAATGGAACAAGATTTTCATGGAGATTTTCAGGTCAATGTTACATGGTTTTTTGCCTCTTTCTCCGGTGTCCTTGACTGAATTGTGCTCATTCTGGTATGGTTTGAAAGGTCTCTTCACTCTGCACAAGTTAGCGGACAAAGTTGTCCTTGACCGTTAAAACTGATGACGTCACAAAGGGTAGATAGGACGTGGATCTGCACGGGCGATTACTGGCGGTTCAGGGGCGAATGGGTTAAAGAAATAGACAGAAATAGTAATAGCTCATTTATTAGATTTAGAAGATGGACTTCTCCGACTACTGATCTGATGTAGTTTGAAGTATTGGAATGGCGAGTTTCGATTGTCTCGAAGATGTCTGCATCATTTTCATTCAGTAAATGCGATACAAAAACTCGCATAAACAAAGGTTACACAAGTAGAAAGATACACTAATCAGTTCGAACAAACATTGAAACTTTTCAAGTGCGAAGAGAAAGTAAATTACCTGCATGATTTCTCTTCTCCTCTGCCGTAAATCTGAATTCTGCCTATAAACAGGAAAGCTTATTTAAATATGAGCTTAGCTAGATAAAAATGTAGTCACAACGGTGGATGAAAAGCGTAAATCTGAGCGGAAATTACACACAACTTACATATTTCGCTTCCCCCTTACTTAAAGCAGGTGAATTGAAAACTTTTCCACGAAAAGACGAGATTATTGATTTACCGAGACGGCAAAATACGAGGAAAATGTTCTCCGTAGTCCCGATTACGCGAAACAGCTCAACAACTCACCGTAGCCGCAGGACTACGCGGCAAAAATGAACAGTCACGTGTTTTTGATCATGCGCAGTGGCACGTTTAACCGTAGTCGTAGTCCGTAGTCGCCTTATCTTAAACTTCCTATTTCTCTTTTCCGCGACGGGAATAATCCATCCCAGGTAAGTCCTTCTGTACTGCCCTCTTAAGTTTTGCTCGGCCATACTTAGGTTACGATCGGTACGTACATATTCTGTGTTCTTGCCTGTAATGATCCTCTACTTTACAGAAGCCAGTAGAATTAAACAGAGGACAATTTATGATCATCTTTGGTTTGAGCGACCTGTTCATAGAACAATTGCTTGCACTTGCGGCTGAGTGTCGGATTCTTAAGTTTAGCTTCAGGTCATGACAGAAATACTGCATCCTTTCCTTACTAAGTTTAGGCAGATTCTCCGAAGGAAAATTGACCAATATTTCGTCGAAAAAGAATGCTTTCGTTCGAGTTTTTACTCTGACTATCCTCTAACTATCTGCCATTTTGAAACTAAACTTTTTAAGGTGGCTCGACAGGACTTTTTTGAGGGGATACCTCACAAGTTTGAGCATTAACTACGTCGTCATGAGTAAAGATATGGGAAAAAGATGACCACAACTGTATTATATAAAGATGAAAAATTCTTATGATTTGGGTTTTATTGCAATCGGAGTCGC